CCCCAAAACCCCAAAACCCCAAAACCCCAAAACCCCAAATGGACCCAAGCTGGTTGAAGTGTGATTGGAACATTATTATTTTGAAGCACGCTCAAACTGGGACATAAATTTGCCATCATTTTGGGTCTGATTTTCCATGAAAGGAGTATCATTCTCTTGACCAATATCTCTTTCTGACAATTTTTGATCGATAAGATCAAGTCTCTCCTGATCTTTCTCAAGTTCAATTAAGTCTTTTCTGTATCCCATTGTTTTATCCTAAATAAATAAATTTTAGAAAACCTACCTTTGACATAGCAATTTGAGCATCGTAACTCAGTTCATGTTCCTTAGCATAAGCTGGTGTCGAGTATTCAAGAAGCTTCTTTCTTCTAATAAGCTGAATGATTCCTAGATATTCTTGACCAATAATTTCATCCTCCTTCAAAACTCTTGGATTCTTGCTCAAGAAGCTCTTTAATTTACTGAATTGAAGATCAGCATCATACATAAATTCATCCTTTGTGTATTTATGATAAGCTTTCTTAAAGATTGGGTCAAGATCCTGCTTAACCATCTCCTGGTCAATCTTCCATCTCAAATCTCTAATTTTGTCAACGATGAGCTCTTGTAATTCAAACTGTTCATCAGTAGTTCTAGCATCTGGACCACCAATGACATTCTTTCTTTTAAGATCAATCCACATTTCTCTTAGTCTCTTTTCTCTCTCAAAGTCATCTTCAATGAACAATCCTGCTCTCTCTTCAAGGTCTTTTTCAAAGATGAGTTCTGTCTCAGTCTTACTGTCGATGTCTTTACCTCTGGTTCTAGCAACATTGATGTCCTTTACTTTATCAGAGATGAGGCTTTCAAAGTATTGCTCATAGCTAAGTTCTGGGTCTGCCTTTTCCTTGATCTCTTTCTCTAATTTGAGTTGTTCGAGCTTCATCTCTTCTGCATTGATCATTTTCATCATATCGCCCTTGATTTGGAGCTTTTCAAAGTGCTGAGGATACTCAAACTCAAGGTCTTTGTGCATGAGGGCAATCTTGACAACTCCTTCCATCTTTTGAAGAGATTTAACAACGTGTGGGTAAGGAACTTGGCTATAATTAACTGAGCCATCATCATTCAGCCTCACATTCATCTTCTCTAGCTTTTTGACTAGAGATTTAGAGTTTTTCTTGATCCTGGTAGGGACTTCTCTGACCTTTTGGATGATCTCTCTATCACTTAATCCTTTGAGGCCATCAGCAAGACTAGCTCTGTACTTATGGGCCTTGATCAAAGATTCAGCTCTGTTAATGAATCCATCGTGAACTTCAATAAGGCTTTCCTTGTCTTTCATATTATAAGCATGCTTCACAACCTCATAAGTGGCCGGTTGATAGTTATCATGCTCAAATGGAAACTCCAACTTGGAAGTAGGAACATACTGACTGAAGTATTGTTCAGCTGATTCTGTAGTGTAATCTAGATTTTTAAAAGTTTCATTGATAATAGATCCTCTATTTTCAATCAATTGTCTTTGATTTTCTTCCATAGTTCCCTAAAAGTTATTAAAATATATCTTACTTGTTCCTTAGCCATAATATCCCACTTTTGCTGCTGATATAGATATTTAGGAAGATCTCTGTCAAGTTGGTCAACCTTAGCTTTTCCTTCAGCCTCAGAAAGCTGCTGAGAATAGTTGAGATAACTTCTAGCTCTGTTATTAATTGCAAATCCTCTGAGGATTCTGTTCTCATCTCTCTGAACTTCTAGTTTCTCCGCCATTTCTTTTTCAAGAATTTCAAATGCTTTATTTTCAGAGTATCCTTTGTCCATAAGTTTCATCTGCTTCTCGATGAAGAGTAGAGCAGGGTTTTCAGGGCGTTTACCCACTAGACCAGGTGCATCACGAGCAATTGAGTACTTTACATCTGGATATCTCTTATAAAATTTCTGTAAAGCCTCTCTATAGATAGATGTTTTCCTCTATAAAACATTATTTAGTCGCATGAAGAAATTTATCAAGTAATTTTGGCTGAAATAGTTACCAACTTAGATTGAAAGACATACCTTTTGAGTAATCTCTATATTGGCAGTTCTGTAATCAAGATGACTTAGTTTCATAGCTTCGTAATTTTCTGGTTTTAAAGTGAGTCCATGCTCATAGTACATCCGAACTTTATCCCAGTGCCTAACAAACCGGGTGTACATCCTCCTGTAAGAAATCATTTGTGGATATAATAATTATTTATAATATAACACATGAGCAGGGGTTTTGGGGTTTTGGGGTTTTGGGGTTTTGGGG